TGGGGTGTACACCCCGGGGGGAGGGAAACCAGAAAGATTCAAACTGAAGACGGGGAAAGATAGGCCCCTTTCTTTGCAAAAAGAGTCCCCGGCTTCAGGAACCCCCCTTTGAGTGGACGATAGATGATAATAGGGTGTATCTCTGAGCTGCGTCTCTTAATCATTGCAAAGGGGTATCGTGTCGGAGGATGTGGAAAATGGCACCCCGATGTCGGACAAGAATTGTCCTGGATCCTGGTGGATCGACGGGCATGTTTGCATAAAATGGGCGGAAATCAGAATAGAAACCATTCACCAGTTTGTAAAGACGTAGAATAAGTAGGGATGTGATGAGATTGGTAAATGGAAAATAAAGAATGAGGTTTTTATATTCTTTTGGTGGAAATGGTTGGGTGTGGATAGCTGTGCCTTGCTTGAACCAGTAGAACCACTGCTGTGTTGTTTTGTTTGCGGTATAATAAGACATGTGTAGCGTGTTACCAGGGGGGTCGTTGGTCAACGACTTATCGCTCGTAGAGATTTTGTAATCTCAGTCTAATTGGAAAAGTTTCCCATAGGGAAATGTTATTCAGTGTGTGATGGAATCCATAAGTATTGTACATTAATTCCTTCTCTGACATTTTTTTAATATCTATGCTTGTGAAATTAAGTGAATGCAGCTTCCGTAGATATTAAATGAATACTCTTTCTTTGTTTATAGCGATACAGTTCAGGCAAGTAATATAGTTTATTGTAATTGTATGTTTTCACAATCCATTTAGATTTTAAGACCACTTACGGTGTTAGGCTTAGATATTTTATCACTGACATTAGGAATACCAAGCTCCTTCCTCATATTAAGGTTCTTGGTAGCTTTGGGACAGACATGAATAGTTCTGAGGGCTTCGTTGTGCATTAGCTCTAAGTGCCGAAGAGAATGTTCTTTGCTTAAATTAACATGGACGCAGCGTAAACAATAAGGATCTAATATAAGACATGTACATCTTTCATAGTTGCTGTTGTAGCTAGCAGTAGCTGTGAAAACGTGTACCGTACCCCTGCATTTTTCATTTAGTTGTGGTATGACTAGGTAAAGCTACTCCTAGAGCAAAACGTTATATTAGCCTTGCTCTACTCGAAATGTTTTGTTCTGGCATTATTTGTTTTGCATTCTGCCTTGCAATCTACAGAAGTCATCGTTGTTACTTGCCTTAAAGTCTTCCGCTGGTTTGTTGTCGAATTCAATGTGTTAACCCTTCCTAAATGCTTAAATTATCAGCACCAGGTCCTCGCGCACGCGTCCTCGGCTTCAGCGTTTATTCTCCTCGTCTTTGGTAGTTCTTTCAGCTTGTTGTAGATCGGTATACGTGTGTATATTAGCCTTGCAGATACTTCTGTTCTCATAAACTACAGATACACTGTCTCATCCTCAAGATACTCGACCTCATAACCTACACATACTTATATTCGTAGCATCTCTAGTTAATCTTCACCTAGAGACACTCATAATCTCATCTCGTTTATAGAGATTTTGCTTCATCACGAACGAAAACTCTTCGTGTGGGGAGAAAGGTATAGTTTATGTCTGAAGTTTATCAATCCCCTGCTGCCTCAAGAGGAGAGCTGGACAGATACCTAAAGTCAGTGCCGGATCAGCCGGGCTGTGCTCGTACGTTGGACTGCGTGCGGCCACAGTAACAGCCTGGTTGATCAGCCCCTTATCCACCGGGAGCTTGGTCATGGACCGGGCCGCGGGGGGCGTTGATCCCCGGAAATAAACCTCCAGGTAACCTCCGGCAACTGCTTTTGTAGGTCACCAAGGCCGCATTTTCTCCCTGTACACTGAACAATAATTACTATAACTGTTAAATTAAGAGAGATATGTATATGTGCGACAGTGTACAGATGGTGGCACTGAGGGTGGTGCTTGTGAACATTTATACTCGCTGCGTCTTGACACTAAGTTTCACCGTCACTGGCCCCCGCCCCACCTTTTTTCCACCTGAGCGCCATCAACCTACCGCACCGGGTGCGTCCATGTAACCTCACCTGGATACGACCCCACACCCTCAACTCAGTAACTTTACACGTTTTACGTTAGGATTCTCAACCCGTCATCTTAGTATCATTACCTAGTAACGTCACATGTTTTCAACTTGATTCACCCTATCCTCACCCGGGCACATTTCCAACCACAGTGCCGGCAGCCCCTTCGTGAATTATGCCATTAAAGGATCGCAAGGTATGGTTTTGTGGATCAAACCTCTGCTTTCCCTCTAGTGGTGGGTGGTGCGTGGTCTGGTGCTTGCTTCCCCACCTCCTCTCATACTAGGGATAGGGGCTGTGTTGCTTCCACCTCCTCTCATTACAAGGATAGGGGCTGGTGCTTGCTTCCTACCTCCCACCCATTACTAGGATAGGGCTGGTGCTTGCTTCCACCTCCCTCCCATTACTCTAGGGTTACGGGCTGGTGCTTTTGGCTTTCCACCACGTTCCCATACTAGGGATACGGGCTGGTGCTTGCTTCCCCCACTCGTTCCCATTACTAGGGATACGGGCTGTCTTGCTTCCACCGTCGTTCGATCATGTTGGGAGTTGAGATACGTGATTAGGGAAGAAATACTCAAGTAGGCTGTTATTATCGTATAATTGCTGTTATGTGGAGGAGCCCTTGCCAGCCGTACCTATCTCTTGGCTACACTCGTAATAATCACTACTAGCCGGCTGCAGTACCCTAATGTGAGGGGGCCTTAACCTGCTGAGGTCAGCACAATATGAATTCAATAGTGACTCAGGCATGAGACGGTTGATCGTTAGTCAACGGAACAAATATTACTGGTAACTGGTTTACTACACTGAGAACTGGTAACTGGTTACTACTACTGAGACTGGTAACTGGTACTATGACCTACTGAGAGCTCGGTGACGCTAACGTATGTCGATCCCGACATACAACTAATATACAAACTAGAGATGGCAGGTATACGGCTTGGGCGATTCTATACAATGTCAAAGTACACAACATGAAACATTATAAATACATAAGTAGAACATTGGAATAAAACATACGTAACTGAAACTGTAATTGCAATACAATGTATACTATAGTACAACTTAAAACTCAACCAATGAACATCGAACTCTACGTTTGAGATTACAAGTGATAAAAAACAAAAATAAAAAAGATTTTGATCGATCGATCTGTATTCATGTGAATCTACGGAATTCTGAGAAGGGAATATATAACAAGAAAAGAGTGTGTACAAAAAGGCAGATTCGGTGCAAACGCAAATCTAGACTGTTAACTCTCAGAATGCGGAGAGAAAATGAACACAAAAAAAAGAAATCTTGAATACTAGATAAGTTGATACTGTAATTATTCATCTATACAGGTTTATTTACATTTAACACTCCCATCTCCTGCTAGGAAAGATGAATTGGCTTTCAGAAGGGTGGGGGGGGTCCATCTCTGGAGGGGGGATCAAACTCTGTAGCATTGGTCTAATAACTCATGCTGTATTTGAGGCAAATCTGAATTGGAAGTTACAAATGATACTTGAGGATTTCTCATTAACCTGTCGTGTACGAGGTAATAAACGACATTCAGGTTGATCGTACTGACGAGTATCAAGGAAGAGAGGACAGGATCATGAGGATTGTCAAGGTCTGTCACATTAGTCCTGGGTTGGAACATCATATCATCACTACTAACGTCATATGATCCAAATGCGATTTCTTTATTACTGACCTGTAACTAATCTCTCATAACCTTATACTTATTACCAGTGATATACAACTACGCGATAAGGCCCACAAACTTTGATCAAGCTTTGGCATTGCTGACGTTTTGTTAAAGTTAATCAGCATAACCTCGAAAACCTACTTTTGATTTGGATGGCTTTGATCGAGTGTTTGCGACTCTTGTGAATTCAACTGTTGATTTATGAAGTGTTTCAACACGATTCTTCTAAAAACACTTAGATCTTAAGCTGGTAACGAGTTGCTACGAAATCATCAGGGTTTGTAATATTGGTTTCGGATTAGAATATAACAACTCATATGTCAAAACTTTATCTACAACCGTACAATGCATAATGTGGGAGTTTCCGCCTATAGAAAACATGTAAAGCAGAATTTATGAGCACACTGCCACAACAGTTATAACTTCATCCAAGTTTCACTGTTGGGATTGATAGTTGGCTCTCAGAACATCAAGTACTTTCTAATTGTTTCGTTCCGCTAACCCATGGCTGGCAGGATGATGAGGAACAATGTGGATTTAGGATCTTTGTCAAGGTACACAATTTTCAAGAATTTCATTACAGAATTCACCTCCATTTTCTGTTACTAGGGACTTAGGGGTGGTAGGCCTGCAATAATGCGTTCTTTAAACGCTTTAGCTACTGTCCTCGGCAGTCCTTATCTGCATTAGAAACTACACTCCCAATATCTGGTGAAATGGACTACCATAACACACAGAATGTTTGATACTTGGAAGGGAGGTACATTGGAAATTAGTTTACAAATCTAGCGCAACTCTTTCAAAAGGTTGCGCTATATTGGATACACTGGATTGATTAGACGCATTAGCATGCCTTTATGTTGCATGCAGCCACTACATTTCCCTAACATACTCAGAAATATCAGTTGCCATTCGAGGGCCAAAGTATTTCAATCTGGCTTGTTTACTGAACGATCATACAGGTGAGCAAAAACACCTGGTACAAAGTCGTGAACTACTTAGAGGCTACATTCACTAGTGACTGTGGAATTACTAACTGGTATACTCTTCTGCTAGAGTACCCAACTCGGCTGTTCGATACAGTAATTCTTGGTTCATGACAAAGTCACTGATGGGTGCTGGTGCTCAACTTAGAATAAATTCTTCCAGGAGAGCAGAATCGATCACCACCAACCAGACCACATGGGATACTGTTCGTAGCCAATTCATTTAACAATCTTCAGCACTAAAAAGGAGGGTCTGCAGTTTACTATACAACATGTCCGATAAGGCATCGCGACTACATTTTACTTGCCAGGTAAATGCTCAAAGTGGATTGACTCTTGGATAGTCCCAGGTCCATCTAGCTAACCTTCCATATGTTGTTTGTTTCTGGAATGGGTATCAGTGGTGCATGATCTGTCAAGACATGAACAGATACTGATAAATAATGTCTCGTAAGTTGCATTAAAGACCATAACTATTGCTAAAGCTTCTTGCTCAGTAACAGTATGATACGTTCAGCCTTCGTAAGGACCGCTAGCAAATGCAACTGCGTTGTAACTGCCATCGGTCTTCTGATCCAGTCGGCACCTAGCCAATTAACTAGCATCAGTTGTCAGATAAAGGGCTTAGAAAAATCTGGAAATTCAAATTGGAGCAGAAGTTAGCTTTTCTTTGTAGAGTTATGGAATGCTCTTTCTTGACGAAGGTCCAAACAAAAGGAGCATCTTTTCTTAAGCAACTCAGTTAAGGAGCACTATGAAGAAAAATAGCAATGAAAGATCTATAAAAACCTGCTAAGGCCCACAAAGGATCTACGCATAACAGTTTTGGGAGTTAAAATTTAGTACTGCAGTTACTTTACTTTGGTCAGTCTTACCCATCTATGGAGTGACTCACGTGACCAGATGAACTTAATTTCTGATCTGAAAAATTGAAATTTAGACAGTTTGATCTTTAAATTGGCTTCTTTCAAGCATTAACCAATTATAGTAACTAGTTTATCAGTCAAGTCTTTTCAGTGTGTATCACATCTTTAGACATGACGATTACGCTTCTAAGTACACCATAAGTGCATTACCTATGAACCTTCTAAAGATAATTAATCATGAGCCTTGAGAACGTGATAGGGGAAGTTCGTAATCCAAATGGCCATACGGAGGAAGTGAATAATGACCTGTAGAGTGGAGAAT